AGGGTGATGAGACACTGGAACAGGTTACCCAGTGAGGTTGTGGATGCCATCTCCCTGGAAGCATTCAAGGCCAGGCTGGATGGGGGTTTGAGAAACCTGGTCTAGATGGAGGTGTCCCTGCCTATTGTGGGGGAGGTGGAACTAGGCGACCCTAAAGGTCTCTTCAAACCCAAACCATTCTATGATTCTATGAAGAATCTACATTGTTTAATCTGAAAGTATCAGGTCTGTTAACTTGAAAATCTATACTGGGCTTTTCCACAGGCCAGTCTTTTATGGGGATGAAGATGATGGCCATGTCAGTGTGGGTTACCCAGAGAAACAACAGTGCAACAAGGTTGCATGCAAGCCCTAGGATTCCACACCTGGTAAAGACTGTGGATGCTAAACCCCCACGGAGAACTGTTTCAAAGAAATGAGTTATGCACCTTGCAGCCCGTGGGGCTGGTTTTGTGTGTTTTTCTGAACATGACCAAAAACTTCTGACCTCAAGCTAAAACAGGAAAGAAACACTTCCCTAAGTCTGAATATAATGTAGTTCAGAACAGAGACAAGGTTTGTCCCTACTCAGGGATAATGAAGTCACTTTTTGAATGCACTGTGCCTTTTGCAAACTGCACTTCTTCTCACCAGACAGTTAAATTAGACATAGATAATGCCTAGTGCTGATGGTGTTGTATTAACAGCACTTGCAGTAGCAGGCAGGGCATGAGCCTGAATCAAGACAGAGGAAGCTTTGCTGAATGAAAAAAGATACCAAAGTACAACAATATTGGGCAATGGAAAACTTAAAAACAAAAAAACCTAAAGACATAGTGATGAGTTAAATTACTGAAGCAGTTGAGTGAGTATACAGTAAGTGTTATTTGATGCTGGTACTGAATCAAGCATTGGAAAGTTTGAGAGATCCTTGAAGTATTGACAATGCAATTGACTTCCACTTGAAATGAATCATTACAACTGTTTTTTTTCAGCTTCTCCACCTGTTCAGAGTAAAAAACAATGTATGAGATATATGGCCTAAGGAGACTTCTGCCTCTCTGTTGATGCATTTCAATGTTCATGACTTTCAGTAAACAGGTTTTGAGTTGTTTGGGCTTTTTTAACTGGAACTCAATGGCATGTAGATAGGGTGCCAGATTTCAGCTGTAAGTTTTTCATGGCAGAAGTAGATGTTCCTGTCTTGCTCGGTCTATACCCAGGCACCTCTGTGAATCTTTTATTTATAATCATACTGGTTCTGCTTCTGTATGAAACATAACTATTCACAAAATACTAATCTCCAGGTATGATATGAGGTACCGATTTCATGTCCAACAGCTGTAGTACAGGTGACCTTTGGGGCAAAAAAAAAAAAAGGCTTTTAAGTTTGCTGTATAGGTCTAAAGCTGAACTTGGAAATGGAAGAAAAAAAAAACAAAAAAAAACCAACCCACAATAGTAGGCTTTCCTTTTGTGCTTCAGGAAGTGAAAGGAAAAGAGTTTTACATGGTTTCTAATGCTAGGCATGTGATAACTCAGCAGCATTTGGGAGTTTTCTGCTTTGTAGCCTCATTCAACATGAGGGAATGGCATGGAGCTGTGTCAGGGGAGAGGCAGCTGGGGCTTAGGGAAAGGGTCTGCACCACATGGCATTGGGCACAACCACCAGAGCCAGAGTTCAGGAAGTGTTGTTTGGACAGTGCTGTCAGACATTGAGTGCTGTGTGAAGCCCAGAATTGGACCCAGCGATCCTTGTGGGTCTCTTCCAACTCAGGATTATTCTATGATTCAGTCATGCCTCTCTGATCTTGGCTATCACCCAACAGTTTCTGAAAAAAACATGGCAATGGCGAAATAGTCAGTTGTAAGAGATAGGACATGATTCTTTCAAAGTGGCTGCCATGAATCCAGTGGATTTGCTTTGCCAGCCAAGGAGAGCTTTGATTCTTGGTGTCTGGTGCTTTGCCAGGAGGCCATTGAGGAGAATGTTTCCACCACTGTTGGATCTCCCTCAGCATCAGTGCCTTCTTTTTGTGCTGCAGATAGGTGAAGGGACAAGCTGAGGAGCTGTGGAGTTCAGGCTTCATTGGCAAGCAAGATGGTAAAATGTGACAGCTGTCACTTCCATCTGCTGTGATATGGGCCCAGCTGACCTCTGCAGATGGAGCAAGGCAGGCCTTGGGCCTCAAGAACTCTGTCTGCTGCCCTGTGACTCACCAGAGCTGGTCTGGAAGCTGCCCAGCATCCCTGTTACACTGGCAGAGAATTGGCACAGAATAACACAGGCTCTGGCAGCAACAACATGAAAGTGGCTCTTAATGAGATGGGGGGGGGCACTAAAGAAAGTTCAGAGCCAAAGGGCAGTGGGAAGAGAAGGAGTGCTCAGTCAGTTATACCCACCCCAAAGTGATCTGTTAATCACTGCTGCCATTGTGAGGTTCACAATAAATCTGTGTCTGCCCTGGCCGCCCGCGTCTCATTATGCACAAACATGCAGATCAGGAATGTCAGCCTCAATAGTGATTTGTCGTGTGAGCTCGGCTGCAGCCGAGTGGGCTGGGACCTGCATGGTTAGCTGTCTTTATGTTTTCTTTTTTGCTTTTTTTCTTCTTTTTTTTTTTTTGTTTTTCTTTCTTGTGAGGATATCAGTTTGCTTTTGGAAATGTTGGTTCGCTCTGTCCTGTGGGCAGTAAACTTGCCCTTTTTCTCAGCAATTTGCAAATTCTGTGATGTTAACATTTTATACAAGGTGGGGAGGAAAGATATATCTTCCATATGTGCCGTTAGTTAATGATTGAGTTTTTGTTCACGTGGTTTTTTTTCCAGTCCTCCTCCATGTACAGCGTCATGCATATTACTGAGGCTAGGGCAACACCTACATGTATTTATGCAGCTGATATACAGTGCCCATTATTCAAACATTCTGGACTGCCTTGATAATGCTAATTAATTTAAGCCCTGCAGCACCCCTTTGAGGCAACTTTTGTTGGTCCTGATAGATGCATGCATTGTAACTGCTCTTTGTTATTTATTTTTGATATGATTTCTATCCCAGAGGGGAAAGGGGGGGGAAAAAAAAAAGGAATAACTCTTACTTTCATAGGTAGTTGGCAGAATGTTAGATTTTAATCTCAGCAAAACAATGTATGAAGTAAACTGTGGATTTTATTGCAAGTCATGCCTCAGAGGTTCTCATTTTCTTTCAGAGCCTCAGTTCCTGAAGCCAGGTGAACTTAAATATGTCCTTTTGTTTTTAAAAGTCTGTCTAGCTTGTGTGTGATTACAAAATAAATTTTAATGTATTGTCTCCACTTAGACTAAAATCTGAGATGCAGTGAGGTAGGTAAATAACTTGACTAAGGTTGTGGTTTTATTTATATTTATTCTTAACGTTTTTGCATGATTAGGACTGGGAATGCCAATGACAAGTGCATGTAGTTCAAAAGAGAGCCCCACACATTACTAGTTGGTTTTGAGTTTGTTTTCTTCAGATCTCTGCAGTCCCATATTGCATTAGCTAGGTCAAACAAGGGCAACCCGCTGTTTCCTTTCTCTCCATGTGCAAACCAAAAATGTTTTCAAACATCAGCTCACACTTTTTTTTTGGTCTATGCTCATTGTAAAATCTATTAAAGAAGTATTCAGCGTGTCTTCTCCAAATGCTTTATCCTCCTTTCTCTTTATGCTCCTTTCTGAACTCGATCCTTTTTCTCCACCTCTTTTGTCAACACTGAGCTCATTTACTGTATCTTTCTTACCCTTCCCACATCTGCTTTTGGTGCTCAGTCTTGAGTCTTAAGTACTGACAAGGGCTACAGAAGCAGTGAGCTCAAGTTTTATTCAAAGCACAGGCAAACCAGTCCTGATTTCTCCCTCCTACTGGAAAATTCTTAATTCCTTAACATTGTTATAGGTGCAGGTGTCTGCTGTGGCCTGGAGCATGATTTCACAATCTTTTTGGGGCCAATCTGAGACCACATTGACACCAAAGGAGGCAATCACCATTTTCTAGTATCTGCTCCTACCATCTCCTGTCAAGTAGCTGTCTGAGTTGATAGATGACTAATTTTTTGTAACTGTAGGTGAGGAAACTGATCTGATCTGCAGCACAGCCACATGGTTACTAGTGCTTGTGCCAAGAAGCCGTGGGAAACATACAGCCAAGAGCAGGCAAAAGCATGACCACCAGTTTTGGTAGTGGTACAGTCTCTGGCTTAAATTATCATTTAATGGCACTCCAAGCTGTAGTTTCAAGGTGATCCCACATCTCAACAAATTCACAGCTGTGACCTTCTGCTTTTTGCTAGTACAAGCATTTTCCCACAGCTGTGGTGAACCAGACTGGTCACCTGAGCCAAATGGAGAAAGAGAGAATTTCATTTTTTTCTGTGTTTATTAGTCAATTTTTGGCATAAATTATCCTCCCAATTAACTGAACAAGTGGCCCACTCTAAGGCTGCCTTCCAGTCAGTGCTTTTCACTGTGTTATAAATCTGGCCTCCTGTACCCAGGCAGTGAAGATTGTGGTAGGGTACTGCTGCTCGGAAGGAGTTATACTTTCTTCTTATGCTTTCCAAACTTCATGTTTATGCTTATTTCTGCTCTGACTGGCACTCAGCCCCCCACCTAGAAACCTCATCAGCCCTACAGCAAGCAGTGCTTTAAACAGGTCACAAAGCAGTATGTGTCCTAGACAAGGCAGGTTGCTGACACACATGGATTGGGCCAAAAAGAAGTTTGAGGTGTTCATAAATTCATTTGCTATGCAAATACGGACTTGGTGGGTATTCTCCCTTCCACAACCATGGCTATTTTAAAGCATTGCATTATAATCAGCTGTTCTGGAGGGTCCACAAGCAACGTGTCTTCCCCAAAGGTTAACACTTTGTATTTATTTTTTCAGAGCAACTTCCACCTTCATTTTTAAACTAAAGGTAGTTTAGACAAAAAAGCTTTGATGATTTTTTGTTTGTTTAGTTGAATATGAAAACCACCTCTCCTTTCTTCTGTTTCGGCAGTTAAATATTCTGGTTGACACTGGGAGCAGTAATTTTGCTGTAGCAGGTGTGCCTGATCCTGATGTCACCTCCTACTTCAATACAGAGCTGTAAGTACCTGTTCTGCACGCAGTGGTGGGATAGGATGTCTTTGAGATTCTGACTACTCGATGCATAAGAAGATGATCAGGAAGTTCATGGGGCTTCTCTGACATCCCGTTGAGAGTGGGTTTCTTCCTGAGAGGGTTTTCTTCCTGAACCAGAAGGTCAGCTGTCCCCAGTGCAGAGTCCACCATTTGACACCTCAAATGTTCCCAGTGACAGCAAAATGATCTGGTGATGAAATAATGACAGCAAAACAGATCTGGGCCCTGTGCTAATTAGAGCTGAGGAAAAAGGAAGATTATAGTGTAAAAATTATTTGCAAGATCACACCAACTTCAACCAGTTTCTTGTCCAAATGGTCTTGGAAGGAATTAGAAGTTTAAAATTACTTTCCTTTTGTTTAAAAACAATAACTAACACTAACTTTATCTACTGCTTGACATTTTATCTAAAACCAAAATTAATCAGTCAAAAACTAATTTGTTGTTTAATTTGGACAAGGTCTTCAGTCACTGTTTGGGATAGGCCCAGTTTGGGTATTTGTAAGATATAACTTGGAGATTTTAGCACCTGTTACACACAAAATTTGCTGTTTAACAAGAGCTGACATTAGTCACAGCCAAACACAGCACTGTGCAAATAATTCATCCTCCTTTCATCTTTCCTTTCAGCCCTTCTCTAGTTTCAATTACTTCAGGTACATTTCTACAAATCAGAGTGCTTATCTTTAGCTGACCATGTAGATAAAATTACTTGAAGGTCTGATGGTGAGGAGAACATTAACATTTTCTTTACCTCTTCATGTGTTTTACCACAGGGTGTTGCTTTTTTTTCTAATAAGATGCACTGGTGACGGAGGCAAAGCCAGTATTTCCATGCTGCCCAGTAGAATAACCATACCTCCTGTCACATATTCAGCTGTTGGCAGAGATGTTCCACATAGGTCTGAAAAGTCCAGAATTAGCACTTGAATACTATTTCTGTGCTACTGCAGAATTTTACTTGCTAGCTATCCCTTTCCATAGGTGGTGGCTGTAATTACAAGAAAACTGAATTGTCAGGAACTAAAAGCTGAAGTATTCCTCCTCACTTTTCTTTTCAGTGATGTTACTTTGTCTGGACAGGCAAGGCCTCTCTTAAAAGAACCACACACCATTGCAAACAGCAACAACAACAGAGACTGTGTATTGAGAATGCTATGAAATCACTTGAAGGTTACAGCCTCTTATCAGTGTTCTCTGTGTACATTGTGTTTTTAGAACTTTGATACAAAATTAATGATGAAACCTTGAAAATTAGGCCCTGCAGAGTTAAGGGTACTTTACCAAGTGATTTGAATTCAGTAATAGCAGCAAGCAATTGTGATAGCAGTTCCTAGCTTGGGTTGGATTGATGCAGAACTGGAATTTGCTCAGAATGAAGTGCAGCCATTAGCACGCTTGAACCCAGCTACATCAAGCTTCTTTCCTTTCAGGTAGTTAAGGCATAAATGTCAGCTGGAGCACATCTTGGCCCCATTGTAATCAGTAAGGCATTTAAATACTGATTGAAAGAAAACTCTGTAGGTCACCTGTTACGTATTCCCACTGAGGCAAGGGCTGTCACTAGAATGGATCAACCATGGCTGATTCTTGCCAAGTCCTGTAAGCCTCTGAGGGTGGAGAATTCATGAACTCTGGCAGTGTGCTTCACTCATGTGCCATGCTCTCCTGTAGAGGAAATGCTTCATAATATCCAAACTGTACTTAACAAAAGGATGTTAACCCTGACAAAGAAAGTTGTCTGTGTCATTTCTGTAGCCATCTTTTAAGTGGTTGTAAGCTGCTATGAATTCTCCTTTTAGCTTCATTTGCAAAACAAGCCACGATCCACTTAACTTTTCATAGGTCCTTTCTTGAGGTCCCTGACCTATTTGGCAGCCCTCTACCAGTCCATTTCTCCACATGCCTGTTTAACTGGCTTCATACAGCTGGCTACAATATTCCAGTTGTGGTCTCACCAGTGCTGGCCAGAAAAGGATAATAAACTTGCTTAGATATATTGACTGTTGCCCTCCAAATGCAGTCTGTTGTAGTTGCTGTATGCACAGTGCAAGTATACTGCTGGCTCTTATTCTGGTGTCTACCATCACCTGAGATCCCTTTCTGTTGCTTCTCAGCCTATCCCAGTGTGTGGAGTTGTTTCACCTGAGCTGCAAAACTTTATGCTTCTCCTTGTTGAATGAATGAGGTTTCTGTTGGTCCACTCTTCCCATTTTTCAAAGTTGCCCTGGATTCAAGCTCTGCCATTCAGCACGCTCTTTAAGGTAGTGTCCTGTGGTAATCTGCTTGAGGGTGCAGTCTGTCCATCATGTCAGTTCTTCACAAAAATTTTCTCCCCACTGATGTCATGCACTCTGTATGTCATGAGCTTGACACTGAGCCATTGATCACTGACTCTTTTAGGCCTGGAGGTATAGCCCATTTTCAGACCCCCAGTGGTCTGTTCATTCAGCTCTACATCCTCAGCTTCTAAATGGGAATGCTGTGGGAGGTGGTGTCAGCAGTCTGACTAAAGTGAAGACGTGCTACAGCCCCTGATCTCTCCTCATCTGTGTAGCCAGTCATCTTGGTGTAGAGGGCAATGGAGTTGTTCACACGTGGTATGCCTGTGAAATTCCTTGCAGAGTTACAGAGTCCCTTTTTACCTTCTTGTCCATTGTGTGCTTGGGAATGGATTCCAGCAAGCGATTCTCTGTGACTCTTCCTGAGCTGAGGTGAAGTCACTGGGCCTATAGGCTCATTGCTCATCTATTTTTGAGACTAGACTTTTCCTGGCAATCAGATCACTTTCCCTGATTATCGGTGATTTTGCATAAATGGTAGGCAGGGGCCTTGCTTTTATGTCAGCCAGGTCTGTAAAATGACTGCAGTGTGATCTTTACCCATGTGCAAGTGAAGCAAATAGTTTGTGTGCACTTTTCTTCCATTCTATGTAGGACACTTCAAAATTAAATAAAGACATTGTCTCTCATCTAATACTTATTTCTGTAGTTTTTCCCTTTCTCATCATAAAGTGCTTTTATATCAAAGTCATAAACTGGAAATTGAAGGCAAGAGAAAAGAAGGGTTAGTAATTTGTTATATTAGTAAAATTACTGGGACTGAGTTCTAACTCAGTAAACACTTATTAGAATATTGTGTTGGAGAAACATTATGATGAGTATGAATTTCCTGATTGCCAACATCTTATTTTAATTTTTTTCAAATGATCAAAATATTAAATTAAATGCATGATTGATTTTGAACAGAAACTGGGGAGAGTGCATAGGAAAGGTATCATATTTGTTTCAAGAGTCTTGAGGAACTTGGCATGTGTTTTGTTCAGAACAACCTTCCTTGAGCAATTTTGTAACCAATTTGTTTACTCGTATTATGTTTTCTTGTCATATAGTTGCATTGTTTAATTATCTCAGGTTTTCCATACAAAACAAGCAGAGCTATTCTCATGAATTCGCTAACAACTTGGGTTTTTGAGTGGCTCTTAGAAAATTCTGCTGTGAAAAGTTCTGGCATTGATGTTCATACTTCATAAGTCACCAAGATATATAATGTTGTGAGAAGTGGCCTCATAAACTGGAAAGAAAAAAAAGTTATGGCATTTGTTTCTCATACTATTCAAAATAATAAGTATTTTTTGTTGAATATGCTAGTTATGATAAAAAGAGCTACTTAAACAAATTTATAAAGTGGTTTTCAGACTTAAAACTAAATCAGCCTTAGCGTTGTAACAGCGCATAAGAGAATGACATACATGGGCTGTCAGAACTCAGAATTGGTATCCAGTTTTATTTCAGTGTAAGTACCACTGCCTCACAGTCTAAAGTTTAAAGAAAAAACTGCTCAAGAGTTAGGTGGGGTAAGAAAATTACAAGGAAAAAAAAGTTGAGATTATGCAATAAATTGTATACCTGCTGGCAAAAGTAAGCTTCTGCTTTACATTGTGGTCCTGCAAGTTTGGCTGTGTACCCTGCGTATTTTATGGTTCAGGGTGAATTAGAAACTTGTTCTGGAACCCCTTCAAATTAGATGGGCTCCTTGGTTAAAAATTAGTAATTTATGTTGTGGAATAGCCTGTAGACAACTAGGTTGGTTGCTCAGTATTCTTTTTCACTTTGTCTTAAAGTCATTGTCTCTGAATCACTTGTCTTGTGCCATCTATCTATCACTGGAGGGAATGAAAACATCTGTTCAGATCTTTTGGTCAGTTGCCGTTTTCCATCTCTTCTTCGCCATTGCTGGTTGTAAAGATTATTTGCTTCTTCAGAAAAAAAAAAAAGGGAGAAAAAAAGGGCAGACAGGAAAACCTAAAGGCTTGTTTTATGCAGAGTGGCAATGGGAGTGCATGAAATGAAGGAGGAGTTGCATGTTTGGTGAGGTCAGAATTAAACAGTGCTTTATGCACAGTGGTTTTGTTGTAGCTCTGTTGAGCTTCCTTTAAGTGTAGAATGACCACAGAAATGTTTTGACTGTGTTTTGTTCAGTGCTGTAGGCTGGTATTGAAGATTAACTACATATGGTAATGAACCCATTACTAGAGTTCTAAGCTGAGACTGGAGAGCCATTCAAGGTCTGAGAATTTTCTGTCGGCTGCTCTGGAGAGAAAACATTTAACTGCTGAGGAGAGGGTGAGAGGAGTGGTAGTACCACAGGACCTTCTTCTGGTAGGCCTTTTTCCTGCAAAGAAACACCCTTGTGGTGTAACCCCGCAAGCAGCCATACACCACAAACAAGTGATGTATAAAGCAATTGCTCACCATCTGCCAACCAGTGTCCAGCCAGTCCCCTGGCAGCAGAAGTCCCCTGGCATACTCCCCTCACTTTTATAGCTTTTTCAGCTTTTTCATGTGATATCATATGGTATGGAATACCCTTTATACCCTTTGACCAGTTTAAATCAGCTGTCCTGGTTCTGACCACTCCCAGCTCCTTGTGGCCACCTCCATCCCCTTCACTGGCAGAACAGTGTGTGAAGCTGAAAAACGGAAGTGTTCTTGACTCTCTTTAGCAACAGCTAAAACATCGATGCATTATCAACATTGTTTTTCTCCTAAAGCCAGAGCCTAGCGTCATACCATATACTATGAAGAAAATCAACTCTGTCCTGTCTGAAACCAGGACAACTCCATCCCACTGAAAAAGCTGGATTTCTTATATTTGTTTCATAGTCAAAATGGCTTGTTTGGAATTGATGTGCTGTGCATTTATTTTAAAACTTTCTGCATGTGAATTAGAACAACTCTCTAGTTTTGACCTCTAAAGCCATTTTCTTCTTTTGGATCAGTGAGTTGGAAAAGCATGGGCTGATTACAGTCAATAAGATGTAGCAGGAAATGTTTTTGCAGAACAGAATATAATTACTGCCACAAGGACGATGTCAGATCCCTCCCACATTAGGAATTTTTCTCCTTGAAATAATTAATAAGGCTTCCTCTTCAGTGTGACATTTGTGTGCTTTGCCAGTGCGATGAACAGCCTCATACACATTTCTACAGGAGGGGAAGCACAGAGGGGAGGAAGTGACTTGTCTGCCTTTGTGCAGAGGAATTCATCAACAGTACTGGGTGATGAGCCCAGTCCTTTTGTATCCTGTTCCAGAGCTCAATCCATGAGCCTATTAGTGCTCATGGAAGAACAGATATGTGCTGCTATTGTTGCTGGTCATGCAGAGTCTGTACTTGCAGACTGGCTTTGTGTTACTGTTCCAGTACTCACCTATCTTTCTAGTTTCAGATGATTCTTCTGTTGCACAGCCAGACACTTTTCAACATGACCAGCCCTGTATTTTCCCTTCCTTTTCCATGTTCTCCCACAGGTTTCTCTTATGTTGCTAATTATTCAGACTCTGTTTTGATTTATAAAATGTACTGCCAGTATCACAGTAATGCTCTGAAGACCCTGACTGAGCAGAGATGTCCCTTTGTTTAAATGTCACGGAAAAGCAAAATTACAAAGCACACTAAAACAGCAGTAGAGATGACCAGATACAGATAGTAAGTGCCAGTAACTCTGGAATTTGTGCATTTTGAAATATAATCAGTGCAGCCTATTTTCTCATTTATTTCTACTGTCTTGGATGTTACAAGCCACTGAGTCCTGAAGCTCCCTGAAGGGCTAGGCACTGGGAATATCAAGAGCTACTCAGGATGGGGGAATGGTTTTAAACTAAGACAGGGGAGGTTTAGGTTAGATATTAGGAAGAAGTTTTTCACTCAGAGGGTGGTGATGCACTGGAACAGATTGCTCTGAGAGGTTGTGGATGCCCCATCCCTGGATGCATTTAAGGCCAGGCTGGATGTGGCTCTGAGCAGCCTGGTCTGGTGGTTGGTGGCCCTGCTCTCTGCAGGGGTGTTGAAACTACATGATTTTTGAGGTTCTTTTCAACCCAGGCCATTCTATCATTCTATGATTATAGCTTGGCCTCTTTCCTCCATTAACTTGGAAGGAGGATCACTTGTATGGGCATTTGGTGAAATTGCCCAACAAGGTGTGTGTGCTCAAAAAGGTGGGAGTATGTGTGTACCCATCTGAATGGTGTTCCCCATGGCAGGCAAAATTCTCCAATCTTTTTTTCTGGCTGGCTCAGGTAAGGATGGCAGCTCACAGGCCAGGAGAAGCAGCTCTCCAGGTCAGCTCTTGTCAGTGAGCTCTCATCTCTTGCACTGCAGTCAAGGACTTCAAGGCTTCACGGCAGCTTCTGTCAGAGCAGCTGTTAGGTTAAGGCTGGGCGGATAAAGCTGTCCGCACTTGATAAATGACCTCTACTTTCTATTGTGTTACATGCATGTAATTTTTTTTAGATTTACTTTTAAAAAGGCTGTCAAGCTGAAAGTCTGCTCCGATGAAGTAAGCATGGTCATTTTGCTCTTTAGAACAAGAAACTGCATGCCAAGGAATGGGACCAAAAATAGATTGTAAGGGATCTATCTAGGTGTTCTGTTGCTCCTTATTTGTGATGCAGATGGAGGGTAGTTGCTATGTTTATACTGCAGGTTTTTAAAATGAAAAATTTCATGTTTTTTTGTGATGTTTTTGCTAAGCTTTCTACCCAGGGTTTATTTTCTTTGCTCCTTTGCTTTTGTTATCTTGGTCTAGAAGGAAATCCTCCCTTTCATTCTCCAAGTTAGTGAATCATTTGTTAGTGAAATCCAGATCTATTAACTTCTTTATGGACAGGCCAGACTGCAGATTTCGGTGTGTATCTTACTGCTTAACTCACAGTAATATTCTCGTTTATCCAAAATGGAATTTTAATAATATTAATGAGATATTAGTCTACAGCTATCCGGTTATCTTGGTATTTCAATTTTAGATTTGAATTCACAAGCTTTTTATTTCTTACCACTACTTAGTACGTTCCATCTCCAATTAAAAATTATTGCTCCTATTTTGATGGACAAGTTTGAGTCGGAGACACATTGCTCTAGATGGCACAAAACCTTACATTAAATTTAAAAAAATGGGAGAGGAAATTTGAGTCATTTAAGGCTTCAGGTAGGGGCTCAAGGGTTTGCTTTTAATTATTATCATAATTGACTGTTACTTCCTTTAAAGTCCATCCCCCTTCTTCTGTATGTATACGTGACTGACTTTACAGATTGTACTTTCTTTTTCCTATCTGTGAAAAATGAAGATTGGGCAGTGCTTTGGTGTCTTAAATTGTAAATAAGCAGCTCACACGTAATTGTATCTTTTCCTTTTAAAGGTCAAGTACATACAAATCACAAGGGATTGAAGTCACAGTTAAGTATAGTCAAGGAAGCTGGACTGGAGTGCTGGGCACAGATGTCATTACTATCCCAAAGGGGATTGATGGCAGCTACACCATCAACATCGCTACCATTCTTGAATCGGAGAATTTCTTCTTACCAGGGGTTAAATGGCATGGAATTCTTGGTCTTGCTTATGACACCTTAGCCAAGGTAAGTCATCTTTTCCCCAGCTTTTATCTTTCACAATGACAATAAATAGAAATGTAAATATTAAAGAGGACAGATGATGATCTGTCAGCATGAGATTCATCCCTTCCAGTGACTCTATCCTAAGGATCCTTCAGATTTGTTAAAATATTGAAAGAATAAATTGGGTTGTGATGGTATCCCAGTTTCATATGTGGATTTAGGCTTTTCTGATGATGAAGGTTCTAATTTTAACGCATCTGGAATAAATAAACTTTTTAAGAGTTTGTAATACAAGGAGGATAGGAGTAAAAGTTATAAGGCTTCTGGTGTATGTGCAGAAAGCATTTATTAGTGCTCTGCTAATCTCCTTCAAGACTTGTCAGCAGACTGCTGAATCTTTTGTAAAAGCCCTTGGCAGTTCATTCTAAGACATTCCCCATTCATCAAGTAGAAGTTGAGACAGAAGGTGTATATGGGTAGTTTCAGTACAAACGTTAGCTACCGTGTTTTCATGAACATATAACCAAATGCATCTTGTTCTTATGAGGTAAGAAATTCAGATAGAAGTTTAAATTAAAACCTAAAATGTATAAGCTTGTAATCTAAAACTGACATTGTAATTGTTGCGCTACACAGTCATAGCTTTCAACCTACACAGAACTGTCTGAGAAATTCACAAACTGAGATGTATCCATTTAGAACAGATGATTCAGAACTGTCTGCCAACTCTGGAATTAAAATGCTTTATTCAAGAGCTGTGTGATCGTTCTATTGACTTTACCTCAGCAGCTGTCATACATTGTCATCAGACAGACAAAGAGGAGCTGCTTCTAAGACTCTGCTTTTGGGCAAATAGCGTGTTCAGGATATTTAGTTTTCTCCTCTTCTGAAGACTTCAGTGTTGTTGGCTTCTGAGGCTGCACTATGCTTTGTGTAGTAAGAGCAGTTGGCACCTCACAAGCTAATCAGTGGACCTGCCTGTCATCAGATGTAACTGCATAGAAATCTGAATTACAGTGAAATTGTAGTACTTCAAGGCAAAGGCAAGTATGGCATAGAGCGTAGCAAAGAACTAGCTAGTCATTAACCAGTTGAACTTGAATATAAAGTTCTTAAGAAGAAAGAAGAGGAAATAAAGCCATCAAATTCAAAGTTCATTAGAATTAAATTATGTTTAAAAGCTGCAATTCCACACTTTAAAGTCTGTCCTTTTAACCATAGGAGATGGAAAAAGAAAGTCACGTTTGAGCATTCTAATAACTGAAGTCCTTTTCCAGACAGAAAGTATTGATGAGAGCTTTTACCTGAAACTGAAATAAGTATTCGAGTCCCAAAACTGCAGTTGGAAAATAATCTCATGCTTTAGAGATTTCTTTGACAGTGGTACAGATTAAAACTGCTTTAAAAAAAAAAAAAAAAAAAAAAAAAAAAAAAAAATTACAGGTGTTGTTTTTTTTTTTTTTTAATGATACATAATATCTAGGATTTTCATCACTTGCTTGTCAGAAATTCAGTTTACTTGTGAAAAGTAGTCTTGTTTAAATGACTTGCTCATTACTAAGGAAACTTTGTAATTAATACTTCTGCAATTCTTTCTGTTTTTCTACACCTTCAAGCCTTCAAGTTCTGTGGAGACGTTCTTTGATTCTCTTGTGAGGCAGGCAAAGATCCCCAACATTTTCTCCTTGCAGATGTGTGGTGCTGGACTGCCTGTTTCTGGAAGTGGTACCAACGGAGGTAGTCTTGTGGGTATCTGTCAATCTGAGAGGGAAGATGCATCTTTGTTAAACTCTCTCCCTTTTTTCTATGATTATCCTACTACTAAATTTAGTGGTTAAATGTACGAAATGTTTTATAATTTTTTGAGGTGAAGTTAAGCACTTAGGCAAAACTCAAGCATCTTGTTATTTTCATTCTCTATTGTCTTTTAATCTCTTGAGTTTGAATAAACTTTTGCATTTGAAGTTTTAATTTTAGCACAGAAAAAAAAAAAATTGTGGTGTCCCTCCTCACCAATTGTATTTCCTCAGGGAAGATTGTGCTACCTTTCTCAAGCTGAGTGGTCCTCTATTCAGCTATCAAAATGTGAAAGTACTTTTTTATATGATGTGAAAAGGGGGAGAGGAATCAAGGCTCTTTGTCTTTTTTTGTAGACAGCATAGCAAAGGATAAAATCTGAGAACTGGATCTTCCCCTTGTTAATCAGGGAAGTTTTTGCATCCATTTTACTGGTTCAAAGTACTGGATATTGTTCATTTGAGGTAATGATTTGGAATAACTCTTATGCTGAAATAAGCATATCAGCACAGGAGTTAATTGCAAATAATCTGCTGTAAATTCACGTGCTACTGTAAATGTTAACACATTTGAGATAGATAATGCCTATGAGAACTTACGTTAGTAGAGTTCAAAGCATGATGGTCTAGTACGCTGTCACAAGCTTCAAAGTAAGTCTTGACAGAAGCTAATGATGATAGCAATTACATGATGATCATATTCCCTCTTTTATGTGAATGAATTGTTGTTAAGCAGTATTAAAGCTATTTTGATCTGATAAAGTGAATTTACGATATACAGGTTTTACTATTTCATCCCGGTTTTGTACATTGCCTAGATTAAACAACTGAAGGCATGGTTTTGATCTGAAACATAGATCTTTTGTAAGAAAATCAGTGTGAATTTGTAGAAGGTGCTGGAAATTTGCCCCATGGTAGGATTTTTTTGGTGTACTGAAGCAGTATCTTCTTAATTTCTAAATGTTTCAAATTTCTTTATTATTGGTAAAGAATTTGTTAGCAAAATGACTGGAAAAGGTGCTAAATTAAAAATTTTGATGCCCTCTGTATCACAGCGAAGCGTTCCCCTTTTTCCTGTACTTACCCCAAAGGTAAACACCTGTCATTCTTAAGCATGTGAATTTCTTTCCATTTTCACTCAGGTTCTAGGTGGCATTGAACCAAGTCTCTACAAGGGTAATATATGGTACACACCTATCAAAGAGGAGTGGTATTATCAGGTTGAAATTCTCAAGCTGGAGGTTGGAGGACAGAATCTTGAATTGGATTGCAGAGAGGTATTTGCAGTAATCTGTTTCCGTCTATATAAAACATATTTTTTTTTAAAAAAGCATCCAACTAATTGTTTTTGACCTTGCAAGCTCCTCTTAGAATTAAGACTGCATAGTGACTTTGAAAGGAAATGAACAAACCATGTGAAATGTACGTCCATGCTAAAATATATATTTGGCATGTACATGATAAAAGTGCTTGAAAGAGAAGTTCAGAGTTGTTGATAGTACTTGCAGTAAATAAAGAACCAAGTTATAATTATTTTGTCAACAGTTCGCTGAAAATAAAGCTGCTGTGGTTTGGAAGGGCTGAACCCCTTAACTAGTTTCAGATGTACTGCAGATGTCTAAAAACTGAAAATACTGCACTGATTTAAGAAGACTTTCTATAACACTCTGTAAAATCAAACCAAAGGATTTTTAAAACAGTTCTGGTCAAATAGAGAAAAGAGAATATTTTGCAATGAACTCTGGAGATATCTAAGCACATAATTCATAATGGCAGTAGGCAGGTATTTTCTGTGGAAGCTTCCCAGACTATCTAGGCTCATGCTTCTTTTTTATTTTTGAAGTTCACTTTTCACAGAATCACAGAATGGTTAAGGTTGAAAGTGATCTCTGGAGGTCATCTGCTCCAACCTCCTGCTCAAGCAGTGTCACCTCCATCAGGTGTTCAGATGGCTTTTGAACATCACAGAATCTTGGATTATCCTGAGTTGGGAGGCAGCCACAAGGACCACTGGGTCCAACTCCTGTTTCCACACAGGACAATCCAAAAATCAAATCATTATTTCTGAGAGCACTGTCCAGATGTTTCTTGAACTCTGAGAAGGGCAGTCTTCAAGGAAGGAAATTCCACTCTAGGCAACCTGTTCTTTTGCTCCACCACATGCTCAGTAAAGAAGCCTGATGTTCAGATTGAACTTTTTGTATTCCAGTTTGTGTCCATTGCCCATCTTCCCTTTATGGCTTTATCCTGTGGTATTTTGCTGAGCAGACCCCTGAAGAGGCTAGAATGTTCTCTCCTGAAGTCCAGGTTTGTGAGTTTGCTGGGTGCCCTACCCACAGTCCTAAGCATGGTGAACTCCATCATCTCATGCCCACAGTGGCCAAGATTGCCCTTGAGCTTCACATTCCTTGCCAGTCCCTCCTTGTTGGTGAAAACGAGGTCCAGTGGAGCACCTCTCTCAAAAAGCTCCTCTACAATTTGGAGAATAAAGTTTTCACCAGTGCAGTCCAGGAAACTCCTAGATTGTTTATGCACTGCTTTGTTGTCCCTCCAGCAGATTCTGGGGTAATAGATGTTCACAATCAGAACTAGGGCTTGCAAATGAAAGGCTGTTCCTATCTGGGCGTAGAGAACCTCATCCACTTATTCTTCTCGATCAGATGGCCTGTAGCAGACCCTCATTATAATGTCACCTCTGCTTGCCTTCCCTTTAATCCTGACCCATCTGTTCTCAGTCAGTTCCTAATCTATCCTCCAGGCCAAGTTTAATGCACTCCTATTGGTCACTGACTTAGAGGGTAGCATATTTTCCTCATCTCCCCTACCTGTCCTTCCTAAAGAGCCTGCATTCTTCCATTGCAACACTGCAGTCCTGAGAGCCATCGTACCACATCCCCCTGATGCCAATAAGATCAAAGCCCTGCAAGGATAAACACATCTCTAACTCATCTTTTTTACTCCCATATTTTTTATGTTAGTGTACAGGCACTTAAGAGGGGCACCCACACATTTTAAGTCCCTAGAAAATGCTTTTGATAAATTCTCCATAATGTTGCCATGTTGGCATTTCCTTGTTTTGCCTGCAAGTGCTGGATGTGACCTCTCTCAAGCCCCATATCGTTGACTTTGTGATCCCACCCTATCACATCACTCCATGTCACTTGTTCAGCAGGCCTATGCATCACTCCTTTATTGGGCTTCTGGTTGCTTCCCCCCTATCGTAGTCCTTCCTAATTTAAAGCCCTCTTTACAAGGTCAGCCTGGCAAAAATGTGTTTGCCCTGCTAGGGTGCATCCTATCTCTCCCGCACAGATGCTGATTCTCAAAAAGAGTCTCATGGTCAAAGAAATGAAAACTAAATTTTGTTCACTTCAGCCTTGCTAATTATTATTCCTCATGGTTATGTTTTCTGTTCTTATTAGAAAAAATTTTCTGCTGTCTCTGGATCAGTCTAATAAAACTGTGCTGCTGGATTTTTTTGTTCCAAAGCTGTTTTATGTTTTTCTGGAGGATATGTGTGTATGTGTGTGTTTCATTTGGTTCTTGCTGTTGCCTGTTGCTATTCATGTTTTGATTTTAGTTTGGTGATTTTCATGCCCTCTTTTCATTAGACACCCTGTCTTAGCTGTCACTTTTCCTCTTCATTGGAAATCAGTAGAATGTGATAATTCTGAAGTTTTTATAGTTCATACATATTAAATAAAATTAACAATAAAAAGACTATGAGCATAAACGTATTGCCACACAAAATACAAAAGTCATATTTCTGTAGAAAGTATTTGAAATGAATCATGCCATCTTCAATCTACTTAATAAGCAGAACAAGGTCTGTTCAAATGCCTCCCTATTATATTGCTCGCAATGCAGAACTGCTGAGCCTCTAGCAAGAATGTTTGTATTTGCTTTTCTTTCCAGTCCTAAAAAACAGTCGACGTGTTTTGAAGAGGAGGCCTTGTACCGACTGTTTTATACATGCTGTTTCCAAAAAACAACTCACTTAAAAATCTAGTAGTGTTACGAAAGTTTCCTGTTATTGTCACTCTTCTGAGCCGTGGTTTGCTTTCACCTTGGACGTATCAGCATAGTGTGCCAGTCAATACTGCAAAAGGCATAATGTATTTCTTGATTTAAAGGAATCTCCCAGCAAAACTTTAGGAGAAGAGTAGTAGTTGAAGGCTAGAATGATAAAAAGTTAACTAATTATGGGTTTGCTGAGAACACATAATTCTTTGTATGTGTTGATGAACTATGTGCCCTGTCGTCTCCTAATTGTTTTCTAGGAAGCAGAACATTTCTTGTAACAGTCACTAGGGACTACTCCTTTCCTTGAAAGGAAAAAGCTGTCCCTCTCACTTGAGTGCTCAGAATCTGTCCAGTATTGCATTGCAGCTGTGTCCGTGCTGCTGACAGAACAGGACTGAGAAGGCAGGGAGCTGCCACTGGTACTCTCTTAAATATTAACCAGCAAGACTGAGAAGGCAAGAAGTTACTGCATGCTGAGTGTACACTGTACACCACATGGAAATCCACAAGAAAGGAATTCTACATGTTTTTATGCTACTGCTTGGCCCTCTTAGTTGTGCCTCCCACCTACTTACTTTCAAGGGTAGCTCTCAGGGTTGCTGACCATTGCATATTTATGGTGCAAATATGCTAAAAAGTGTTTCCAAATGCCTTAACATTTTTCTCCCCTCTTCAGAAATTCCTGAGAAGTTCCTGAGTGTAGGATAAATGGCAGGTGTTGCCTACCAGTGCTCTTCCTGTTTGCTTTTTTTTCAGCGCTGTTTGGCAGCAATTTGTATTTGGAAGCCAATGTATTTGGAATTTAATTCCCGTATGATCTTTTCCTGAAAAGATTATAGTGTGTGTTTCCTTGTGTCTTTTGATTATGCCATAGACACATCACTCTTCAGTTACACTAATCCTGCTGCCTTAGCTGATACTTTCCATAGCTGGGAAGTAATTAATGCCAATGACTGCCACTGTTGCATGCCTTTCTTTTTGCAATTAATCATAGTTTTTAAAGGATCTACAGATTTTGAAGAGGCAAGATTGAAATTTTCAGACTTCTTTGTAGTTGCTTTTGTATGTGTTCTTGTGGTTTTCCTAAGATGAGAAAGAAAGGTGTGCATTTGGCTTCTGTACTCTTGAGTCAGTACCAAACATGACGTGTAAAGAGGACTCATGTTCTCTGATCATTTTAAGTGAGAAACAACAGTCATTAAAAGCAAGCTCCTATATGACATTTGAACTAGAGTGAGTGAGTACTTTGCATTATTGCAGAGACCTCAGTGCAGGGCTTAGGCATACATGCACGTGCTTCAGTGTGCTTACCCTTTGTCAGTGCTAACCATGAAGGCACTTTAGCCATTCCATGATTCTATGACTGCTGAAAGGTATGACATACCGGCTGATGAAGTCAGCTATCAAAAAGGAACAACCTTGTCATTGCTATGAAACAGTTTAATCTGCATTACATTAACTAAAGTGTGTAATTTGCCTCCTTTTTCCTCCTTCCTAGTACAATGCTGATAAGGCAATAGTAGACAGTGGGACCACCCTCCTCCGTCTGCCCCAGAAAGTCTTCAGTGCTGTCGTGCAAGCAATAGCTCGCACATCCCTGGTAAGCTAATGCCATTAATTTTGCTTTAAATGTTAAATTCATGTTAAATAACCTTTTGATGTTTGAAAGGACTGTCATCTTCTTTGTCTGCCTTGTAAGTCATAGGGTCTTTGACTTGAGGGGATCTGAATCTTTCCTGGTGTACTTCTGTTAAGAAATTATGGATGGATTCGATGGAAACAGAAAAGGGAAAGGAAGACGAGAGAACAGGAAGGGAGGTGGGAAAAATGAGGTCTAAATCCAGACAGAAGGTGCGTATGTGAAAATGCGCTAGAAATAGTGTGGAGACTGAGTATTTTGCTCTAAGCAATTCAGAAATACGGACTTAATTCAATATTTTTCTATTGAAGGTATTAAGAGTCCAAAAATCAGTCCTTTCATTCAAAACAGAGTGTTTGTAAAGCAGAAGAGCCTGCGACTACGAGCAGTTACTTTCCAAATATAGGCTTGATTGCTGCATAGAATGGATGCAATTCATCAGGATTATTCATATCAAAAAAGATACTTTTGAATGTCATTATTTAATTATGTTTTAAAGCATCTTTCTTTAGAAATAGAGGAGGCTTTAGAAGTAGGGCAGGGACATGGTGGATTTATCTGAGTGTAGAGTAACTGAAGCGACATTTTCTAGTGAACAAAAGCTATTCATAAGTTTTGATTGAATACAGTGAACAACATTGAGGAGGTTAAAGCAAAGGAATAAATTTCAGATATTTTGATGTGAACAAATTGAATATTTCTGTCGTGGCTTCAGGAAGAGATAGTGGTAGGAAGTGCAAATCACAGGAAATGTAATAAGTAAGCTATTGGCCAGCTGTCCGACAGGCAACATACTTACCTGTATGCTTGTAGTTCAAGACTGATACCCTTTTCCTGACTGAAAGCAGAGATTTGGCATGAAGAGTTTATTCACTGCCTGTAGTTGTCTGGTGTGTAAAATAAATATACAAATTATCTTACAGAGCTCAGTTTCCCTGGTTAAAAGTTCTGCTCTTTGTAAAGTGCTTAAGTATTGATTTGTAACAATTGCAGCTGACGAGGGGGGAGGGAATTGAAAGAAGCCTACCGTAGAGCTTGTGTAACGTGGTCATGGCATCCTCCTGGGGAGTGGGTCATAGCACTCCATACTCTTCCCTGATGTGAGTCAGGAGGATGTTCAAACATGGGCTTTCCACATGCCAAGTAAGCAGCCAGATCAATAAGATATTAGAGGGGAACCACTCTCTCACTTTGCCTAATGATTTTTGTTCTTCCTATTAATAATGCATAAGCAAACTCTTCCAGACAGGGTTTCTTTTTAATTTCAAGGGCCTTGTTGTTGTATCCCTTTGTCTCCACACACACCAGAAGTTATTTGCACAGCTCTAAACAAAGGAGATAGTCTACTAAATAAGAAAGTAGTTAACAAGATGTAAGGATTAGTTTCTTGAGTTGTCAGAGTTATTTTAGTAAAATGGGTACTTGCAGCAGTTGTACCAATGGCATGACAACTTTGCTTTGGGGTCTGTGCTTCTGGCAAGCTATTTATCACAGAAACATAAAACCAACTGCTGTAGTCAGATACCTCTGACCACAGGTGCAGTAGGTTAACAAGTTCCTGCTCCTAGCTGCTTGTTACCTGCTTCCCAGCATGACATTATTGCCCACTCAGGTTTATTGGCATAACTGCTTATGTACCATTCCTTTATTCAACTGCATTAAAAAAAAAAAAAAAAATCAAGTCTGCAGCTTTCTGCTCTTTAATGGTGCAGAGAGTTTTTTAAAATGCCCTTATTTGGTCTGAAGTCTTTTAGGGGGCAGTTATAGATGCAGTTTGATGTTGGAAGGTCTGAAGAGTGGTGGGTTTGGCAGATGAGCAGAGATGAGTTGCAGGGAAGGCGCAGCGACTGTACCTCATGGAGCTGAAGTCAGAACAGCATGTCTTCTCACATCATCAAAGTAATGCAAAGTCAGTAAGCTGGAGAAGGGAAAGCTCAAGTAAACCTAAAATCTTTATTTTAATAACCTTTTAGGTATCATAAAACCAAATGCCTCCCGATGCATTTGTTCAGCATACAGAAGTAAGGCAAAGGAAATACAATGTAATAAGCAGCCTCGCTGGAAAATCAAAGTAGGCACTTAAAATAGAGCACTTGATGGATTTTGTCTGTCCAGTCTGGGTGCTGCCTGGGAGCTCTTCTCAGATAACAAGCTCTGCTTTGCAATGCAAAATGGAGAGAGTGCTATGTTTTCAGCAGGTCTGACATGGCACTGCTGTGAGAGGTAGAGCATTTTGGTTCCATACCAAAAGATAGACTTAAGCATGCACTGAGAGTTAAGTGTAAAAGCTGGCTGTGTAAGTCTCACGCTGTGTTTGTATGAACGTACGTTTGCTGGCCCAAGAACAGAGATGAGCACTTGGAAATATAACGTCTCTAATACAACCTTAATTATTTCATTGGCAAGAAGGTGGGTGTGCGTGAATACTTGTCACCTGTAAAATGCCATATAAATAATGCATGAACTGATATTTGCAAAATAATCGATATCGCAGATAATTATAAATGAGTGGGGTAGAGAGGCTGGATTCCATCTTTTGCACCTGTACGAGATAATTTGGCTGTACAGCAGCGTAATAAGATATGGGCTTGTATGCTGCTTCATTGTGGAGTCAGAGCCAACACAAAGCACTGCATGCAAATAATGTTTTCCTCTGATCTGGCAGCACATCAAATTTATTTGCTTTGGGGAGCAAGAACTCCAGGCAAGATTGTTATCTTAGGTGAAGAAGCTCTGGAAGGGTTTAATTTTCACTTTGTTTATGTCATGGCTATATTAAGAAACACTGCTAATCAACTTTTATTTCAGAAGCACATCAAGTCATACTGGTGGTGAGTGACAGAGCAGCAAGAGAGATAGAGATGTGTTTCTTTTCATTGAGTAGCAGACCTTGAGTCTCTTGGATGCTGGGAGATTTTCGCATACCTTTTGGCTTCAAAACCCTGAAGCTGAGTAAAAAACTGTGTGTGTGAGAAAGAGAAGCAATCCCATCAAATATTCATGTTGCTTGTATTTACTTTGTGTTTTCAAAAACTATTTATTTATTTTAATTGTTAGCATTCGGTCATAGCTATCAAAATCTATCAAAATGCATGTAATCTGTATGTATCGTGTTTTTTTTTTTCCATAGATACAAGAATTCTCTTCTGGCTTCTGGTCTGGTTCACAACTTGCATGCTGGGATAAAACTGAAAGACCTTGGTCCTTATTTCCCAAACTCTCTATTTACATGAGGGATGAGAACTCCAGCAGGTCATTTCGGATCTCTATCCTACCGCAGGTCTGTTTTCTTTGTTTATTCAGTGTTGCTTGTATTTTTTACTATTATAAGGCATGTGCTCTTTAAAAATGGTAATAAAAATTGGCTTATCACATGCAAGGGAATTTTCTGTAATGACATTTTTAAAGATCAGTTTTTAAGTAGGAAAAATAACAAAGAAACTTGTGTATTAGAAGAAACTTCAACTCCCAAAGCCAAATACAAAAGTTTCCCTCAGAGTGCAGCCCATGTAGTTGGAAATGATTCTTTCAAATTGTTAGGAAAAATAAGTAGGTTTGGTTTTGTTTTCTTGAGCATTAGCCTTATTATATATCAATACAGTGCTCCTATTCATTTTGATCTTCTAATTTTGGGAGAAGGAAATTGATTTGTTTTTCATGGCATTCTGAATTGGAGCACTTCTCCTGAAAATGATACTCTTGGCAAGGAGCCTGTCTGATCTCTTCACCAGTTCATATAACTTGGTTGGTTTATCTTTTATTCATATTTCATTCTAGCTTTTAGAAAATAGCGTTGTGCCACTTTTATTTCTGCTCTCTGGCTTTTTTTTACCCCAGTATAGATTGCAATATAGGCCAGTATCTTCTAACATTCCTAATACAATCTTTTACCTCAGGGAATGGTCAGAAGTGTATAAGAGAATGAATTTTTAAGTACATTTTAACTGGAAATATAGTGAAGCCTCATGATAAGCTTTTTCTTTATTGATCATGTAGAATGTCAATCTTTCATCTTCTCCCAGGAGAAAAGAGGTAAAATGTGGCTTGAATGTATGAATCTAGAACTTTGAGCTAACACTGAATGCTTTCTGAATCAAATTTATCCTGATATTTTTGTTTTAAATATTATTTTTTTTCTATAATTTGGATTCATGTTCCAAATTCTTTCTTACGTATCCTCCCCGTGTGGAACATACAGTAAGAAGTGGGTTTTGTGAACTTGTAGGTTCTCTGCATGTAGTGAATGATTGTGTTCAAATTTAAGCTTGGGCTCCCAAGAGCTTTTACATGCATGTAAGCTTTGATCAGATTTAAATGTACAGAAGTCTGTTTGCTGCTATTCACTTTTGACTTCCAGTGGAATTTGGTGTTTGATTATAAAAACCCGAAAAAAGTCTTGTAAGTACTCTGTGGTGTTCCTTCTTACACTCTGTCTTTCTTTTCTTTCTTTGTTATTTTAATAGCTTTACATTCAACCCATCCTTGGGATAGGAGAGAACCTGCAGTGCTACCGATTTGGGATCTCTTCCTCCACAAATGCTTTGGTTATTGGTGCTACGGTCATGGAAGGCTTCTATGTAATCTTTGACAGAGCTCAGAGGAGAGTGGGCTTTGCAGTGAGTCCATGTGCAGGTAAGAAGGATATTTTGTGCAGGACTGGTGAGTGAGGAAACAATTGCTACTCTCAAAATAGACCTTTGTCCTTTACATAATGGGGAAAGGTATGAAAGTGTGGTTAACAGTAAAGTATGTTTTTTAGCAATCCCAAAGTATTCAGATTTCAGGAAGAGTAAAAAAAGAAGGTCTTTTGGTATGAAGTAAATTAGCATCAATTTGGATATCTTAGCTGCATTCTTCCAGCTGAGATAGGATCTTCTTACTGAGACACCCGTCTGTGCGTGCAGCTTCCCCAGCACAGATCAGTCCCTGTTTTTAATGCAGCTTCATGTGTGCAGTCCTGTTTCAATTTGCAGATAAATTGATTCTTTACTTGACTGGGCAGTGAAGTACCTTACTCATGTTTTTCTCTAAATACAAATTGTGCCTTTACAGCCTTTCAGAAATCGTCAGAGCAAAGATCAAAATGGTACTCAAATTAAGATTTGTGATGTCTGTGTTGGTTCTAAACACGCTGTTTGCTCAGTGTGAGTAGGAAGCCATTGAAGTTTTCATTAGCTGCTGAGTAAATGGGAAGAAAAGAGCTGGTCGTTTTTGGCAGATTTCGCAGTTATCTGGTTAACTTTCTTATTGTTTTGTGTTATTTTATCTTACCAAATGTAGCTAAAAACAATTACAATTTTGGCGTTTCCTCCCACTGCTGATGAGACATTGCTTTGGCACCACGTGAACATAAAAGTGGGAGAAAAAGAAAAGGCTGTGTACATATATGCAAATGTCTGTCCGAAATACAAGTGGTATATGCCTTGAAAAACATAGCATCTGTGATTTGCATGGGAAAAGGAGTATTGACTGACACTGCCACTTTAATCCCCATTATTTATGTTAGAGATGTAAGGGCAGTAAGTACTTGAGTGCTTAGTGCGACCAGGTAATTGAGGGAAAAAAGAGACTAGCTGAGTTGTAGATTCAGAGCATTCTAAAAGCTTTATAAAATTATTTATTTATTTTAATTTCTATATTGTTAGTGGGTTCAAAATTGTTGTCTTTGAGCTTGCAAAGAAAAAAATGCTGGACATTTGATGCAGGCTGCTTAGTGAAGAACTCTGAGATACCCTACATCACCTTACAGTGATGACAGACATTTTGAATGCGTCTGGAAGGAGAGTGTAACTACACAAATATTGCTGGGCAGGTTTTTCTGCCTGTCATTCCTCCATTTTCTTCCTAACTGCAATTTATCAAGCCTAGAAGTGCCTCAGTCCCTGCTATGCTGCAGCCATTAATGGAAAGAGGAAGGGGCATTTTGACTCAACGCTGTGACCAACATCAGGTTGGCAGGGCGAGCCAGCTGGTGTTCATAAGGGTTGCTTTAACAGCCATGTCTGTGTAGAGAAAAAAGAATCTGGGAACCATAGTAACACTTTCACTATTCACTTTCATAATTAATGTTGCTACACAGAAGCATGGAGTTTGGTCAGTGCAGTTAATTCTGCTAACCTCTCTAGAGTAGAACTGAGCTTTCTGACTAGAAATGAAATCCAGATCTACATGAGCATGGACACACGATGATCCCCAGGTGGTGTTAGAGTGCATTTAATTCTTGTTTCTTTGTCCATGTTTCATGCATAAGTCTAACATAACATCATGGGAACCTGATGCTTCTTGAAGAATCAGATGATGCAAACCAGTGACTGAGACAAGATATACTGATTTGTCAGACTTTATTCATGGGGGGCAGATGACATTTTGCTAGATGTGCCAGTTATTCTGAATTCACTTCTTCACAGCTTGTGGTTTCCATATTTAACACTACTTTCATCAGAAAACCACAACTATGAGTGGTTAGCAGTCAGTGCAGTGTGAGAGATTAAGCTGCCTAACTGGCTTCCTGTGGAGGCCAGCCACGTCCTCCATAGCAACTATATTAATGTAATTTATTTGGAGCTTTTTAGTCTGTTCATGGCATAAATTAAATTGAATTACCGATGGCATAAAACCTCAGAAGTAGAGAAATAGAAAAGACTGTTCAGTGTTGCTGTGCTTCTTTATAATCATCTGTGCTTTCTTGTTTACAGTAGTGCATTAACACTAAATTTAAACCCATGCTTTTGTGAGATATTGAACAGATATATGCTGAATTTAAAAAACAAAACAAAACAGTGGGAACAAAAACTAAGACTAAAGCCCTCAACTTCACTAAGCTCCATGTTTCTGTTGGCTAGAATGGCTAGCAATGAGAAATGTCTTATCCCACAGTCCTCCTTGCCCTGTTTTCATTCTTCAGGATCTACCAAGAACCAAAGGGTGAGGAGAGCTTAGTTAGAAAGCAAGAAGCTAATCCATTGTGGCAAGAAAGGAAATATTCTTTTTCCTTTAAGTCTTATTCTGCCTGTTACTAATTTCAAGTTGTTTCAAAATGTCTATTGTTAACTTCAGAGATAAGTAGTATTTATAGGATGACTAGGAAGGGGTTTGGATTGAGCTCCATCTTGAGACCGAATGTTTGAATCACTTAGATAGTATTAGTGATGCAACCTGATGGTACCTCAGCATTGAGTAGAATTACACCTCTTGTTATTTTGTAGTAAGTGAGAAAATCATAGCAACAAGCCTTAGATGTTTTAAGAGCAGAAATGCACCAAGCACCACAATCATAAATAACTTCCACACTAGAATGTGATGAGACAGAATGCAGTCTCACCACTTTTTCATTCACTAAACTTGAGAGAATGGCTGATATGGTGAACACAGTGGCTAACAGAGCTTCAAGTGAAAATGACCGTGCTAAGATGGAGGACTGAGCACCAGGAACCTCATGAGGTTCAGTGAACAGAACTGTGGAGTTTTGCATCGTCAGCAGAAAACCATCATGTGTGGGTACAGTCTGAGAGGGGCCTGGCTGAAGGGCTGTCCTCTGGAAAAAAGAAGTGGAGATTATGGTGGGCATCAAATGTAAGTCAAGGGAGAATGCAAGTGAAAACACACAATGAAGGGCAACACCTACCAGTTATATCCTGAGATGTTTACTTTGACAGTAGGAGAGGAGTATAGCAGGTTCTCCAGAGAGATCATGAGTTCTCCATCCTTAGAGTTTTCCAAGGCTTAGATGGACAAAGAAAGCTGCACCTGACTTGATCTATTGATGGTGACAGTCCTGCTCTGAGTAGGAAGCTGCACTAGGTGACCTCCAAAGGTCCCTACCAGGCAGCAATTCACAGTTCTGTGATATATTTGGTCTCACTTCAGGTTGCTTCATTTCCAGAAAATCCAAGACAGTGAAAAAGATTGTTAGATCTTCACAACTTTGAGTTCTACACAGATATTATAAGATAGCATTTTTGTCCTGTGATCATCAATATCGTAGGAAATCCCATTTGTTCAAGGTCAAGAAATGAGTGTAGGTAGCTATCACCAGGTATTCTAACAACAACAACAACAACAAAAGCCAAAATATCACAATTCAGCTAACGTATAATAGGTTGTGTGACTGTTGTTTTATGTTAGGGGTATATCTGAACAATTTAGGCAAATTTCTCCCTTTTTATTTCCTTGCAATTTCAGAGTAGAAGAGGGTAAAGGAGAAGATTTCTTTTCAGAAGGAAAAAAGCAGAGTCTATGCTGCTATCAAACATTCTCAAAATGTAATTTCAAATGTCAGCCACTGCAGCAATAATTTTGTATTGCTTTTTTTTTATAAGGAGTAGTTATTGTATTCGAATCAAATAATAAGTAATTAGGGACTGCTTATTTTCAGAGCTAGCTATCTCCAAGGTGGAAAATTGTGTGCTTTTTTTTTTTCTTTTCATTTTTTCACTTTTCAAAATGCTGAATTCCTAAATAGTAATCCTTATGCCTTACATTTCACATTAATATTATATGTGGTTTAGTTTGGTTTTGCTGCAGGGCTTCACAGAGACATACAAAATGTGGGGCGGAGAAGAACAGTGAGATATGTATGAGAAATAACTGCATGGCAGGGCAAGTACAATATGTGGTCTCTGAACAACGTAGATTTCACAGGCCTTCAAGGTAGACTTTTGCAATTCTGTCCACTCCTGTGCAGCTTCCATACAGTGTCTGTGCAACAGCAGTGTCTTGGCAAAGACATGCTGATGATAGAGGGCTGCTTTATCTTGGTCTGATGAGTTGAGAGAGCATGTTTGGCTATTACTGGTGTCAGAAAGCTTGTGAATGCAGCCTCAGGTTTCATGCACCTCTCTCTAATACTTTTTGGCCACCAAAGAAATCTTCCCACATCTGCAGCTGGAGAAAGGGTTGGTTCAGCGAGTGATCCCTGAGAAAATTCCTGGGTTTGACATTTCTTATGGGAGGAGTGTTTTCCATCAGGTGAGTGAGCTGTCCAGACTCTCCTGGAAGCTTACCTGTCACCAGGGACAAGATTGTGAGTGAGCAGAACAGCCTTCTGCTTCAGTGCCCTACCATAAGTTGAATTAATTCCAGTGAGAATTGAACCTTTAAATAATATGAGATCATGGGAGGCTGGGAACTGAATACTAAATCCCCCATCTTTCTTCCCAAGGATGTTTTATGCCAGTCTCTCCAAACGTGCTTTCATGACACTTGTCATGAAAAGTCACAGCTTTCTGTGTGTAAAGGAGATGCAATGTTTACAGTAGGCAGGGCCGCTTAAGGTCTGGTAAGTGTGTTTCTGTATGTAAAATGAACAAGAAATGAGGCGAGAACCTTAGAACTGAGGTCTTTACGAGAAATATGCAAATGCATCTTGGAATATTTCAGTAGAAAAGCAGATGATGTCTGTTTGGAAAGTTTGTTAAAATGCACAGAGAGCACTGACTGCAGGCTCCTAGTTGCCCTAAGCATGCTGGAAGGTGTGTCCTTCCCCAGCTACAGGCCTGCAGGTACAAAACGCCCTGAATATTTTGTTGCCCCAGGCAACTCCCTTGCTCTGCCTTTACAACACACATAGCCCCATCCACAGCTCAGGGGAGCTTTGCTGGCTTGCCGTGGTTACTGTGACAACCATGGACAGCATAACCCTTTCCAGCAAATACTGGTTTAACAAGTACCGGCTTGTAGTGGTAATGAAACAAATCAGGAACTTGTGATATGCCAAGATGGATGGCTGCTCAAAAACAGCTGCAGAGGCACTCCTTCACAATTTTTGCTTTAGTTTTGTCCTGTCCATTTTTGATCTGCTTCTTAGCTTCTTCCTCATTGCCCAACATATCACGTCCAAACTCCTCACTATTGGCACTGACCATCCTCTTCACTCTTTCCCTATGCTGGGCAGATGTTCCCGAGCTCTCCTGCTTTACCTCCCCTTCCTTCTTGATTTTCATCTCAGCAGTATCGCTCCCAAGGCTATTGGTGCTGCTTTCTGCCTAGAATATGGTCTTCTAAAGTATCTGTGAAGCTAATGAACCTGCATATAACTCTCTAAAACCTTAGGAGGCAGCTAATACAGAAGATGTAAGAATGCTCTGACTCTGTTCCACTTGTTGCAAATGCCAGAAACACACAAAAACTCTCCAGGCCCTGAACAGCGTACTGGTACTGTAGGATTTTTTAAGCCTCATTAGACTGACATTTCTGAAAGGTTAGTTCAGAAGGAAAACGTGATCCACTGGCTGGGGCTTTAAGTTGGCTATGGGAGACCTGAGTTAAAGTTCTGCTCTCTCACTGAGCCTATGTAGATGTGGGAGTATTATAGTCTCCATTTGCTTCAGATTCCCATTTTATATATGTGGAATACCAGCATTCTAATTGCAATAAGAAAAGCATTTAAAAATGACTGAGCTGAGATACATGATGATGGAGAGGGTTGTATAGGTTTTTAGGCTAGATCTTGTTACTTGCTTTTAGATGGTCTTATAGACTTAATGCTTCTCTTTCTGTAATTTCTCAGAGGTTGATGGTTCTCCAGTGTCTGAGATTGAAGGCCCTTTCACAACCACAGATGTTGCAAGCAACTGCGTTTCTAGCATAACTTTCCATGAACCAGTGTTGTGGATTGCCTCCTACGCTCTCATGAGCCTGTGTGGGATTATCCTCCTCATACTGATCATCCTGCTGCTTATTCCACCACGGTGCCAGCATCGCTACACCGACAATGACGTGGTCAACGATGAATCCTCCTTGGTGCGACATCGATGGAAATGAGAAACTTGATGGTGAAACCTGGGACTTCAACAGAATGAAGGACAAAGTACTTTGCCAAGGGGAAGAAGCCAATGCCTCAGTCCTTTCTACATCCATTACAAATCGTTGTGGAAAGCCCTCCAAATACTCTGCATCATAACTTTTTAAGCTTTATTTTCTAACACTGATTCTGAACCAAAGCACTGTTAACCACCTCTCTTAAGTGCTACGGTACTGGATTTGCTACTACAGTACAATGAGCCTTTATGCTCACAATAGTACCTTTTTTTTTTTTTTAAGAAGAACCTTACACCATGATGTTCTTCCACTATCTGAACAAAACTGTCCATCCCTCTTTCATAAAAAAAAAAAAAACCAAGCTATCAGAATTTTCTAAGTGATCTGACTGTAGAAAAAGAGAAAAAAAATTAATAATCTTTCTTACTAATCACATTAAATGAATACTGCATTGTGTTTACATCAGTTCATTTTGAAGCTGTGCTTATGGTGCGGGGGAAGGAGAAAGGTCAGACACATGCAGCAGTTAAAGCAAGTGAGGTCAAGAAAAATGGTCGTTTGGGTTTTTGTTCCTCAAGATGTCTGCTGCCACTTGAGGGGTCACCATTCCAAGGTGTCATTGCAAAATAGTTTGAGGAGGTAAAAACTGAAAAACAAACTTGTTCAGCCTTAGCGTAAAACAAGACTACCTCTCTTAATTCACAAGGATGATGCCACTGGTAAACATGTAACTTAGAACTGGTCTTAAAACACAAGACATCCCATACAACCAAATGTAACTCCTGCACTTCTTAGTAGTTGATATTAGAGAAATTAATACTTTCCATTTCGGTGCATAAAAAAGCTTTTCAGTTTCCCCCCGATTGTGGGGTTTTGTGTGGTTGTTTGTTTGTTTGTCTGTTTAATTCAGGATGACTGATATATAGAAAAGGCTGAGTTGCATATGTATAGATAGATCCTATAAATCTACGGTCCGTGTTCTGTTGTGTCTTTCCCTATTTCTAGTTAGTGTGTAAAAAAGGAAGCAACAAAACACAAAAAGACAAATTGCTGAGCTCAGCAATGTAGAAAATCAAGAAAAAAGTCTTTCCTCATGGACAGACTGTGAAGTGAAGATCTTAATGCCGGCTTGTTTTTAAACATGAGCAGCAGTTGGGGGTTTTAGTTTAGCTTCATTGGTGTGACAGGCAAATGAAAAATTTCTGGACTGACTATCTGAATGCAAACATGCAGTAAGACTGAAAACAATAGTGGGAGAGATCAGGAAGGAGTGTATTTGACCAGACCTCCACTGTGCAAGCATACATCTTAATGCTGAGGTCACAACACAGTATTTTCTTTGCAGACAGAACAATTTTTCACGTCTTTTGTCAGACAAACAACACAAGGTTGAACATTCCAATGATAACAAGTTATCTCTTTGAAAAATAACAGAAAAAAAATCCTTTCAGTTTCCATAGCAGAGCAGTTTACAAATCTACGAGTAAAAAGAAAGTGGTAAAAAAGGAAGCTTAGCTCAGAATCTCCCAATCCCTCGTCCAGAAATTTTTCTGCCTGTAATCCCTTCCTGCAGTTTTCTGATTCACACTGCCTTTGCTTCTGACTCTGCAGGGAATAAGTGAATATTTCTTTTTTTTTTTCAGGATGGTGCTTTTACAGAGGTGCGCATACTATGTGTGAAAATAAAGCACCGTTGTTTTTTAAACTAATGTGTATATCACTTCATAACTAAAAGTGCTAAAAACTTTCCCTTTTAATTCCTGCATTTCCGAACTGCTTGACTGCATAAGGTAAAATGATTCGTGTTTTGATCTAACATCTGAAAATGATTTAATTTAGAATTAAGAGTTGAAAGTGGGAGGAAGTTTTGAATTTGCCTCATTCCTCCTCTGCCTCTCAGCTTTTAAATGGAGAAAAACAACTGCAAGGAACACAAGAAATAGAGTTTAGGTGTTTTCTGCCTCATATACCTTCCATATGTCTCTTTCTTCGTGTCTTTTTACTTCATGTCTTAAATTTTAATCAGGTCTTTTAGTACACTTTATAACAAAACGTTTCTTTGGGTTTTCCTTACAGCAAAAGACTTTGCTTCATTTCCAGTTCTGTGATTCAGTTCCACATAGTCCTCCTGGGTTTGGTTTGATGTGTTAATGAACCTTTTCAAACTTGTATTCCTTCTTGTATGGTACAGTAATACAAGTAATGCTTTTGTCACCTGTTTCAAACAGAAATGTGTTGTGCATGTTTGGATTGATACGGCAGTAAACAGTGAGCCCTTTTTCACTTCAGAAAGCACCAACTGTTGTATGTTCTCTGAATACATTAACTTCTGTTTCCTTCTCCCCTCCTGCCTCCTCATCACAAGGAGTTTTAGGAAGGAATTCATTGGGAAAGGTTTCTGGTATGCTTCTGATGACAAGCTAGAGTTGTTCTGAGTTGTTTAACAATGTGTAGAAAATTTGATGTAAAAGCCTTTCAGTTTTACCCTTTTGTTTTGAATGTCATTGGTCAAGACATTTTAATAGAAATGCTTGAATTACATGAGCAATAATCAAGTAGGACAAATGAAATAGTAATATATTCTTGAGTTTTCATGGCATCCCTTGCCACTAAAATTTAGTTTAGTTTATAGTAAAATGCTGTTAGTGGCATCTGCTAGCGGCAGAAAATTCATCTTAGCTTGTAAATTGATACTTACATTGGCAAATATTCAGGTGAGTATTGCTTTGTTGCTCTGGCAACAAGAAGAGCAATAGAAACCCTTGAGGGTTGATTTTTTAGCCTACAGCACACTAAGAAAAATAATGCTCTTGAGCATTTTTCCATGAAAGATGAAACACAAAGATAGACTACAGCGTTACCAGGTATGTCTTACCGGTGATCGCTTCCCCTGGTGTATTTTTGTAAAGGAGAGTGCTGTGAGGTATTTTATACTCCCGTTAACTAACTTCAGAAATCAGATTAAATCATACCTGAAGAAAAAAGAAAAAAAAGAAAAAAAAAAGAGAGAAAGAAAGAAAACAACCACCAAAGCCAAAAAGCAGAGCTTTGGATAAAGATGGTGCTGGGATATATTCTCTATTTATTATGGAAGACAGGGTACTCTAAATCACAGCACTCTAAATCACTCCTTGTATACATATCAATATTTGTTGCAGAACCAGCATTCTCCTAATGTGAATGTAATATTGTGTACCATGAAAATGTCAGAAAGCCATGTTTTATTGGATACAGCCTTTTAGATAATTGATGCTATCAGTTCAGTCATTAGGGATTTGAAGATGCGTGATTTGAGTACAATAGTTAAACCTGAGTTCAGGCATGGGAATATATTATTTATATCCCACTGCCTTGCATGTTTTAGAAATTTTATCATAGGCTTTTTGGCTCAATTTAAGAGCTGAAGAAAACATGAAGAATTTTTATAAGCTTTTTTTTTTTTCAGATTCAGTAAAAGGAGTTAGGTACAGGGGATTGTTCTGTTTTAAGGATTTGTAAGTTGGACCAACTTAAATGCAATATATCAAGGCAGGGTGCAATTCCAGTTCTCAGCTTTGATGTTCTGCAAGTTAATGTGTGGCAATCACAGTACTACTGGCTTTGCTATCTCTTGTTAACAGATCAGTTTCTTAACACTTAACTCTTTATCAGTTGATATCAAAAGATTCTGCTTGGTGACCTGCAGCATATGAATTTCTGTTTCACTGAAGGATTACTCATTTTTATACTAACCTTTTCCAGTCTTTTTTTTTTTTTTTTTCCTCTTAACATAGCATTTTGTTAAAAGACAGAGTAGTTTTTTTCGTTGTCTAATAATCCAGAATGCCTGAAACATTGAAACGTTCTTTCGGTTCCATAGAGTTTTCTCAACAACTCTATTGGTTGGTTGCCATATTCTGACCTCCAACATGAGCCTCATATACATGAGCAGTAGTAGTTCCTCATCAAGAAGGAAGCTGGTGTGACTGAAGGGAAAGCAAAGAAAATAAAGGAAAGAGAAATTAGTAGGCTACCCATTACTCCACTTCATTAAAAATTTTAAGAGCACAACTGATTAATCCTTTTAGGAAAGGTCTGTGCAATCTACAAAGACAATAGTTGCTGTCAAACTTGACTCTGATTGACAAATCGTTCATTTCTGGGTGGTGAAATTCCTGCTGCTGTTCAGCGAAGGGAAAGCAGATGGCAATGGGATATGAGCACTCTTCAGAGGCGGTCAGATCTTCTGGCTTCTGGAGTCCAATTAGATTTTAGGCCAGTCTTGTGAATAATCTGGAATCCTGGTAATTTCTTCTCAGGAACATTACCTGAAATAAAATTGTTGCCTTCAGCCAAACCCTTGAATGGAGTGAACCCGTAGTGTAAAATCTACTGCTAAGAATTGCACTAACTGACAAAGGGGTAAGGTGAACTGAGGCTGGCTGGTTGTGTGAAAGGATGAGATGCTAAATCACAGAGTCTTCTGCCAGACTTTCAGATCAAGGCTGAGGTTCCTCGGTAGAGAAGAATAGGAAAGCAACTGCAGTTGCTGAAAAGCTGCTGTAAATGCAACCACGCCAGCTAATCATCTGGCTTTTTGGTAAGAGAACATGTGCTTGAATATTTTGGAAAGGGCACTCTGTGGTGCTTATTGCTATTACTGGGAATTATCCACCCATAAGTGAACAAAGGGTGCAGTCATCTTTAAGTAAGATCACTGGCCTGCTACTGAATAGTCCCCTCTCCAGATAACAAAGCACTTAGTGGTATTTCTCACCCATTTGTAAGTAACAAAATGGGTTACTTTAAAACATGTTGACATCAGCCACTGTACAGTCAGTTTGCTTTTTTATTCTGTTCGCTACATTTAGGTTTTGCTGGATCTTAGTGGCCATATAGCTTTTGAAATGTTGGAAAATTTAGATTAATTGTAAAATACATATGCATAAAACATATAAGGTAATTCTCAGCATTTAAGTAAGAGCATTCAGTAACACTGAGTGTTCTCACATGCTTTAAGCTGGTGATAATCATTTCAAATCAGTGTATTTAACTTCTGTCCTGTTAATTCACTGTCTGTGAATCTTCTGATTTTCTGAAAGTCTCTGACCATCACACCTACTTCCCCCAAAAGAAGTTCCAAAAAAGCCTCATATCCAAAATTCAACCTACTAACAAAAGATACCATTTTCTTGGTCACCATTCACAGATCTGTTTTAAAGCACCTTGTAAAGCTTTAGAAGTTAACTCTGGATTGAAAATAGTTGCAGTCAGGTGGTGGGCCTGGAAGGAGAGAATTAGAGCCAAAACTCCACCTGTGAAAGGGATCCCAGAACTTGACAGAGTGCAAAGAACCCCTTTACACTTCTGAGTACAGCTCCTGGACTCTTTCACTTCTCACTTGGACAAAGTTTAGCACTGGTGTTCCTCTCTGGTTTGTACTTATTGCCCCAAATTGCTTGGAAAGCATTTGGTGTAGCACTCTCCTTCCTTCTTGGACTTATTTCCCAACATATTGAACTGAGTGTAGCTCAAGGAATACTGCGTAACCCATGGCAGACCTCTGGGTAATATACCCTGGAAACTGCTGACATGTATGCATATTTTTCCTTTCCCTGCCTTACGAAATACAGGGGTGGAGGGAGGACTACAAGGAGCTGTGAGAGTCAGTGCCATTCCTTAAGCAGGTGATGGCCCCTAATGGAAGGCCTGGCTGGTTTTGTACTGCCACGAACTACAGTCAATCCCTTAATGACTTCTGGCTCTTCTTTCTGAATGAGAAACTTCTACTTTTTCAAGTTGAGCGACTCAACTTGATTTTACAGCGATGTGTAGTTAGGTAAAATACTTGAATAAACTGCATTGTTTGTAACCATTGTATTCCTGTTTGAAGTGTACCTT